GGAGAAGAGCCCCCTTGGACTCACTGGAGGAGACCAAGGAGCAGAGAAAGGTAAACTAAGGCCCCAAACACCCTGCAGAAATCATCCACTTTGAGACCGCTTGAACTGCCTTGGCTCAGTGCTTTTCTCATTCTCCTGATGCTTAGGTAGAGCAGATATGATCAATCTGACCAGTGAAACTAGAGTATAGTTTATACTCTGAGGTCCCAAACACCCTGCAGAAATAATCCAATTTGAGACCGCTTGAACTGCCCCGGCTCAGTGCTAGGGAATCCAGGGAATTGCCATTTATTGTGGTACCAGAGCTCTCTTTGACAGAGAAAGCTCAAAACTACAGAATTCCTTAGCACTGAGCCAGGGCAGTTCAAGTGGGCTCAAACCAGATTATCTCTGCAGTGCGTTTTAGACCCAAGACCAAATACATAGCTTTGCAGCCTCAGAGGTTCTTTGCTGAAGCCTGCTACTCTTTTTGGAGATGTCTTTTTTTTGTTCCCTCCTTTTCTGTCTTGCCTTTTTCCAGAAAGAGCACAAGGCAACTAGATCTCTCCAGTTCCAAAGGATAGCGGTCCAGCTTTTTTGTGGATAAATAAGATGCTTGTGTGTTGGAGGGAGGCAAGTCCGGCTTGAAAGCAGCCAACTGCCTTGTAGAATTCAGGCTCTTCGAAAAGGGCTGCTCCAGCCAATGCAAATGGTCGTCTTCTTTTGCAGGGAGGGCTGTGTAAACTGCGCAGGCAAGAACTATTCGCTGGATAAAACTTAAGAGGCGACAATCCTGTGTGCGCTTAAACAGAGTACACCTCTCTTCTTGAGCAGTAGGATTTCTGAGGAAACAGGCATGGGGTTTGGTTGTTCCCATAGCTCAGGGGTAGGCAACCTTTTTGAGCCAGGGGCCGGGTTGCTGTCCCTCAGACAATTGGGGGGCCGAAGCACCAAAAATAAATAAATAAATAAATAAAATTTGCCAAGAAAACCCCAAGAACAAGTAATAACAACAATAATCAATATCATCATGGCAGCAGCGGCAGGACTGGCTTTGGGCCGGTCCAAAGGCCTTGGGGGGCCACATCCGGCCCTCGGGCCTTAGGTTGCCTACCCCTGCCATAGCTGGTGTAGTAGTTTGAGTGTTGGACTAGGACTCTGGAGATCAGGGTTCGATTCCTTACTCAGCCCTGGAAAACCACTGGGTGGCCATGGGTGAGTCACAACCTCTCAGCCTCCTCAGAGGATGGCAAGGGCAAACCTCCTCTGAACAACACTTGCCAAGAAAGCCCCAGGATAGGGTCGTCATAAGACTTGAAAGCACCCAACAACAACATAGCTCCTAGAAATCTGGATTGGTTGGTTAAAGACACATACAAATAAAATGCTGTAATGGAGGAGGGAAATCTTTGTTTTTAGATGAGCGTGGTCCCCTCCTTTGTTTCTTTGCTTAGTTTTATTTTTCAATTATATCATTTGAGGCATTTCCTCCAGTGGGAAGATGGTGCTTGCTCATCACAGTTCTTGAAATTTGTTATTGCTGGGTGGACCCAGAGCTGAGGAATTATGGTCTTCTGGGAATCTCTCCCTTTTTATTCCTGGTCTTCCTCTTAGTCGACAGGCGCATATATATGCTGCCTTTGCTTTTTTGCTGTCACGTTAATGTAGTTGCTCAGTTCCTTGTACAATACTTTAACTGGAGTGTAGTTTAGCTGTTTGTGCTTATTTTGCTTTTGTTTTTTGTAAACAGGCTCGTGGGCACTTTTTGATGTGGTAGTCTCCAAGCATTGTCAATTTTAAAAAGTACACTCGAAGGAAGAGGACAAGCTTCAAGGGAAAAGGGGTAGTAAAAAGAATACAAGTTGTAGGGCTGGAACCATTGCGGAGGAGTTTTTTTGAGGTCAGTGAGGGGCAGGACATCCTTCCTTAAGGAGGGGGGATTGGTTATGAGGTAAAAGTCAACTCCAGCCAAGAAGGATGTTTGTGTGTTCTTCCTTGAATGGAAGTGAAGTGCAGTTCCATGGGGGTGGGCAGGATCAATTAAATGGGATGGTGGTGTGGAGAGAAATTTTGGGGATTAGAAAATTGGGGAGGGGGAGCTATAAAAGGACGGATTAAGAAATAAGAAAGAGCCAGAGAACAATTGTATAATGTGTGAGAATTAGTTAGTTTAGAAGACATCTAGTAAACAGATATATATTGGTTCCCTTTTTTCAGTTGATCATATATATATATATATATATATATATAATATTTGGAAAATGGAATGACTTTTTTATATTATTGCTATACATGTGTGTGTGTGTGTGTAGTGCAGTAAAAATATTACTAAAAAAGAAATTTTGGAGAGTAGGTCAGAGGAGGAAAGATTTCCAATGATATTAATATTACTACTAATGCTTGGTTTCATCAAATTCTTTCATGTTCAAGTGTCTCCGTCATCCTGCCCAAAACTGACTGAAAACAAACTCCTCTGGGTTCACAGGTGACCCTTTTGGCCATTGTGCTACACCAGTCCTTCAAACAAAGTCAGCATCCACAAACTATTGCAAACTCAAATGTACATTCCAAAAACCATTTTTTTGTGTGTGTGTGTGTACTGTGATATTTTCTTGAAAAAAAGTTGGGTTGGCATTAATTGGGGCTGTTTTTGTGATACTACACCAATACTTGACCAGGAGTGGGGCTTGGGAAGGTATTAAACCATGGTCAGGGTTCCCATGTGTAGCAGGAAATGTGAGGCAGAAGGCTTGGAAAGGATATAGATCTGAGAGGGAACTGCTTTTCCTGAGAAGAGAGGTAGTGTTGGAGATCCTTGGGTGCAGGAGGTAAGAATTGACAGTCTGTATATTGCTCTCCTTGCAGGTAACACTGTGGGCTGTTAAACATGTCAACTGTTAAAACATTGTTATCCCCACCTAGAGATCCCTCTCCACACACACACTGGACTGCAACTAGAGCTTGAAAGTTTACTTGAATCTTTCATTTCGTATGGACTTAGGCATGGTGGGTGTTACTGTCTGTTACACAAATATTTATTCACCTTTGCTCATGTTATCTTGAAACAATATTGTTTAATATTGGTGGGTAAAGGTGGGTTTCAACCCCAGTCACTACTAGTGATTGGATTTTGAATCAGTGCAGAGTAGTAGTTCCTGTGGATTAACAGAGAATATATGCTAGGCCCTCTATCCACAAACCCTTTAGGCTCAGACCTGAATCTGGGCTCCTTGGGCATTGTACCTCTCTTCTCCAGCATTCCCAGACTGCATGCAACTGGTAAAAGGGAGAAGAAAGATAGACAGCTAGCTGTTCCTCTGAGAAGCCCAACAGATTGACATATTCCTGGCTTCCTCTGGGGAACAAGGAGTTTTGCTTGGGCGACCCATAGCGCCTTCTCCCTTCCTTTTCACAACTGGCAGAAGGAGCAAAGCATCATGCTGAGGCTCCCAGGGTCTGCTGGGAATGTTCCCTACCAAACTTGAAATCTGGGCACAAACATTTTCTTTAAAAAGCTGGAATTCTTTATTGTCCCCCGTGATGCACCTAAGCTTTTCCTAGATTCTAGAATACTTGTTTTGTTCTGATATTCAGTGTTTGTCACATCACATAGGTTGTTACAATAACAGGGAACCAATTCTGCCAACTTGGAAAGTCCAGGATTCCAAGACATTTGCACTGAATTTCTGCATAAATTCGGTGCTTTCTTTAAAAAACAAAACAAAATGCGACAGGTCTAATATGAAATGTAAAGTGTCCAGTTTAAACATGTAATTCATTCTGGCATGATGATCATGCCAGAGATTGCACTTTCTTCTTGGCTGTAACTCATATTCTGTATGAATATGTACTGTACTGCTTTGGCTCAGAAATAAAGAACAAGCCTGAAAGCAGCTTGGTGACTGTGTTGCCCCAGTTGTGCAGATCCAGTAATGTGGAGTGTTTTTTTATCCCGGGGAGGACCTTTTAAGTGTATGTGTGTGAAAGTTTACTCATACAACAATCAGCAACCGTATTCCTTTCAAAGTTGCAATTGCATGCATATCTGGTTTTATTTTAGCCTGTTCTCCAAATCAACAGAGCATAGACGTACTCTCAGACACCCTTCCTAGGGATATAAATCCAGGTATGTACCTTGCTTTGCAGCCTTGTGGAAGAGGCTTGTTATCAGTGAAAGGGAGAGGTGGAAGAGCAAGAGAACCAAGGCAATGTACAAGAAAAGAAAGGAAAATATAGTTTTATAGTTTGGCTGTCTCAGTGTTGTTGTGTTGTTGTTACCCACATTCTGGAAACTTGCTGTGCAGAGTGCTCCTAGAATGATTGGTTCAGTAGCAGAACAAAGCACTTATTCCAGAATGCTTTCTGTAGAGCTGGGAGCTTCCAAAATGAATTTTCCTCATGCCGTTGATGTGCAACTGTAGCTGCTTTCTCTGCATTGCAATCCAGGTGCCTTTCAGCAGAGTAACATTTATATTGCAGAGGCAAAGAGTTTTTCCTTTATTATGTGGCTATGGATTGGCTGGCTCTGGTGCAGCTGATGCTTCCACAGATGCAGTTCCGATGGTGAAGGATATGTTCCTTCTGGTCCAGAGAG